AAAACTCACTGAATGAACTATAAAACAATCAAATAAATCTCCAAATAAATTAACTATAATCATAAATTTCAGTAAAATGCAACCAAAATATAGAGATATGGGGATGGAAAAGGGTACTAGCTATAACGAAACGACGATTATACTGCAAGCGCTTGTGAGCGCGACCTCTTGTTAACAAAAAATATAGTAACATCCCTACATCCTCTCTAAAGAAAGATATCACATTCACATTGTCTATATTGCCTTCATAAACTAAATTACTGCAAGATTTAACAAGTAAAACTAATTTTTTTCATATTTTAAACCCAATTAGATGACTTGTCATTTAATCATGACCATCCACAAGCGAGGAGTAAAAGGAAAAAAGACTACTACCCAACTTAGTTTTAGTTGCAAAGGTGTATGCCTTTAACCACTAATTGCATATTTTAGATATTAGCATGTAAAAAAGACTTTATACAGAATTGAAGTCAGGCCCTGAACAAGAAAAGTAAGGTACGAGTAGTAACTAATCAGTGAAGCACAAACTAATTGACATGGCCCATCTAATTCTTATCCAATCCACCCGATTGTGTATCAGCCTAGACACAGCTACACAAGAAGTAAGGAACATATCAATTTTACTATTTCGACAACACACAAATTTGACCAGTAGCAATCTTCTATTCAGAGGTATCTTCCCCTATAGTTTTTCCAAGATAAACTGAATTATGTTTCACCTATACAGCAGTTCCAAGATCTAACTCAAGAATCATGTCCTTATTGATTGATAATTTAGAGATGCAGCAGGCTATAAAAAGCATGAACATCAACAACAACATCATATAACAATAAAAAGCAGCGACAAACAACTAAAGCATCAACCATATACAGAAAAAATAATAAAAATAATAAATAAAAAAAAAAAGCAATAAAGCAACGGTGGGCATCAAAAAAATACATCAACAGCAGCAACATTTCACCAGCAGCTACAGTAAAATCAGGTCAGCAGCATACAACAAAAGCTAGACAGAAGCAATAGGAAATAATTTATGTTACCTAATTAATTGTGGCACCAGATTTAGAAGATTACCCATTTTGGTCAACAAGAAGATGTGGCGCACTAGATGCATACGTTGGAGCCGATGGAATTGCAAAATCAGGAATGACAACATTGATCCGAGGGTCAGCATCCCGAAGTTGAGTCAAAATTGCAGTTGTTAAGCTTGGCGCAAGTTGTTAAACTAATTGAGATTGCATACTTTCTAAAAATTCCGTCGGGAATATGAAATCTGACTTTTTATCTTTTTTCTTCAAATCTAACTTTTTTACACCTTTTCCTTGTAGGCGTACACGGCTTTTGCGCTTAGGATCTGGAATCACTTTGGAGTATGGGTCCTTAGATTTACTACCATCTTCGTGTTGTAAAGACTACAAAGCATCCATTTTAGCCTATTTTAGGAAAATAAAACCACCTACTTATTATTTATCAAAACTAAACAAATATAACATACATCTAAAATGTTAACTCACAATGTTCTCTTCTGTTTTATCATGGTTGGTAAGGTATTTCGTTCCCACCGTTCTCTTTCTTGACTCCTTATAGACCCTTGCTTGAGAAGGTTCATGCTTATCAAGATCCTCTTGTTGCTGTGGAAACATAATACATAAAATTGAAGTGATTACAAATAATTAAAGGACGGGGGTGAAAGCCTCATGTAGTACATGTAATTATTGTAAAATAAAGATTATAAAGATAATAAAATTGCATAGAAATGAGATGAATTATTTACCAACTCATGGCGTAAAATTGCGTAAGAGTTACGACCCATAGTGTGCATATCATCTAACATTAGGCAATTGTCTTTGTTGATCTTACTGATTTCCTATGTGATTACACAATCAAGATTTATAAATTTGAACCACGTAAATAAATCATAAAAACAGTAAACTGAAATAGGCTATTTAGGTCATGAAACTATGTCAGTATTGCACAAAAACATTTCAAAACCATAAACATAATACCTCACCCTCTTTAGAATGCCAATATTGCAAAAGCTCTTTAAATTGAGGTTCTGAAATTGTGTCTAGCTTATGAAACCATCTTAAAGCATTAGTGGGATATGCATAGAAGTAGTTCTTCTTAGTGAAGCATTTATGAGCTTTCCAGCTTCCATTGATAGCCTGTATCACCCATTCTCTTCCAGCTTCAGGAACCATATATTTTTCCTATACAATTCATGAAAATAAAACATTAGTATGTAACATGTAGCATATGGAGGTCCAAGTATTAACGAGGAATTAATTATGGTCTAGTAATAAAATATGAAGCATTTTTCAAAAATGAAATCCAACATACTGAAGCTAAAGAATTATATTACTACATACTTGGACATACTCCCACATTTTGTCAAGTGTGGGTAGACATGGAAAGTTAATATAATTTAGTGGTGCAAGTTCAAAATCCCTTGCCACAATACCCAAGAATTGCTTGAACTCATGAACAATTTCCCGTGTAGGTCCAACTGGTTAGCCTAATGAGTTTAAAACAATAACTTCACGCTTGTCTTGTTCGTGCATGAACCTTGGGTAGCATTATTGGACCTCGATGCCTTTTTCTTTTAGGAGCTTTTTTAGGTTCTGTTTCTATGTATACATCTGTAAGAAACATGTTACAAGATAGAAGTTGCAAATACATCAACTAAATACTATAATAACGAGAATGCAAACTGAATCAAGAGGTTCTTGGAAATTTTTCTGATTAATGCAACCACCAACTTTTCCCATACAGACATGGGAAGAGAATTTTCAAGTATAACTCATGATATGGCAAGTTAATCAGTTCTTCAAGCCTAGGGCAGCTATCGGCAAAATCCAACTCGCAATGTACTCCAACATTTCATAATTTTCACATCTCGATAATTTCTTCTAATCAATAATATTGCTCAAACTCTAACTAAAGTAATGAAGCAATAAGCTGCAACTGAATCAATTTGCCTCAGAAATCTTAAAATAAATTTCAGCCCATGTAGTAAAGAAATCCAAATATAATAAGAGAAAAACAATTTACTAGACTTTGACATGTTAACAAAAGCTGAAATAAATAATACTACGTAAAATGATTGCAAATACATTGCATTTCTTCCCTTCCATACTGAGATAGAACTTCATCTTCTAATTCTTGATCACCCTCATATATATTCATTACCAACATCATCATCATTTAGTGCATCCACTTCATCATTCTCACTTAGTGCATACACATCATCATTGTCATTCTCATTAAATGCAGCGCCATTATTTCTTACTTTTCTTGTAAGAGAATTATTCAAAGACTGATTACTTGCTACAAACGCTTCATTATTTTCTTTTTACTTTTTCTGGAACTCGAGGTACGCTGACATGGAACCAGGAGAACATAACGCTCATTTTGATCCCTTCTTTTCTAAGATAACTTGCTGCTTCTTTTGGATGCACTAATCTTGAACTCTAGCAACCTTAATTGAGTGAATGTTCTGAACTACATCAACTGCATGCTTCTTATGGCTATTCACTTCCACAACATCAGCCATAGTTTTGGGGCAAAGTGATGATTTATTTACTTGCTTTGAAACCTATAAAACAAAGGCAATTAAAGCATTACTAATTACATGTAAACCGTGAAAAAGAATAAAAAAAAAAAGTCTGTATAAATGACAAAATAGAAGTGAACACCTGTTTACTAGCTTTTCTTTTTCCAGAAATGAGATTGTTAGCTTCCATAATGTTACCATTTTCAACCTCATTTTCACCATCATATTCTGACGTAGAGTCATCATTTTCATTTTCTAGTATACTATTCTGCCTTACACTTGGACAAATTAAGACTTTTGTTTTTTCTTCAAATATTTTATTAGCTACAGATGCCGATCCTAGGGCTTCCATTCTTTCTGCATTGAATTTTAGTTTTTGAAGCCGTTGCAGCTCATATTCTGTAAGCTGACTTTGGGAAGCAGAAACTTTGGGTCTATTTCGTTTCATTTGGAAAAAAAATGGAAGTATGTTAATGTAAATATAATAAACTGAAATAAATTGCAATGTAAAATAAGCTCATTTATAACATTTAGTGAAGTATTAAAATAATGTGTGTCAATACCATCTGAAAACTCTCTAGAAGGGATTTGAATAGCATGATGCCAACCTTCTCTATTCAAATCTTCTACATAAAACACTTGATGTGCTTGAGTTGCTAAGATAAAAGGTTCTTCTTTAGAAACGGCCTTATTCATATTAACCGTAAAAAGCTCATCATCATCCTTTTTTGAGTGAAACCATTGACATCTAAATAAGACAACACTGAAATGACCATGGTAGGATATCTCAATGATTTCAATTATTGAACCATAATAATTAACATTTCCCATAACAAGATTTTAATCTTTGAAGCTTGCAAAGCTATGTGTAATGGCTGTTAGAGTGATGCCACTGTTTTGAGTTACGCAGTTTGCCTCTCGCTTCATGGAATGAAACCTATAGCCGTTAACTGAGTACCTTGTGTACTTTTTGGCAACGTGAGAGGGACCTTTTGATAACCACAAAACATGGTCCGGGATATAATCATTGCCTTCTTTAAGAATCAAATCAACTTTCTCCCTAAACCAATATAATCCATGAAATCCTTGCTACGGTCTTGAGCACTATTCCATTTTCTTTTCCTTTTAGCACTTACACAAATCTTGTGCTCACTGTAAAAATCAAATATTTATCTTACTAACACGCCATAGTTAGAATAAAGAAATTTTTAAAAAAAAATAATAAACCTACATTATGGTTACAAATCTTACCTTATATATTTCTCAACTTCCTCACTATCACAATTGAACAAGACATAACAATGCGCTTATGCCCATGTAATGCGATCAATTATGTGTCCACAATTTTTTTTTCTTTGAGGTCCTTCCTTTTCCTTTGATAGGACGTCCTACCTTAGGGAAAAATGATTTTGAGGTACCACACTTATTAACTTCATGTGTGGCTTTGCTTTATCGTTTCAAAAATCTAGCTATGAAAGCAACACATGTTTTAGCTTGGTATCCTTTTGCCATTAAGCCTTCTGGGCGAGCCTTGTTTCGAACATCTTGTTTCATTTCATGAAGATTCCTCTCAATTCCATACATACACCTTGAACTCACAGGTCCACCCAACTTAATTTGGTCTACCAAGTGTATGGGTAAATGTTCCATTATATAAAAAAAAAAAGCAGGTGGAGAAGTCCTCTCAAGTAGGCATAGAGTTTCAACTACATCATATTGCAATTTTCCAAGATCTCGAGGATCAATAGTTTTACTCCATATACCTTTGAAAAAAGCACAAAGTCTTATCAAAGGACTAGCAACATCTTGGGGTAATGTTGTCTTCACAGTAATTGGAAGAAGATAATTCATTATAAAATGAGCATCATGGCTTTTGTGGCCTGCTATTTTCCTTTCTCCAACTTGCACACAACGACTAAGGTTGGAAGCATAACCTTGAGGAAGCTTAGCATTTTTTATAACCTGCCAGAACTTACGCTTTTGCTCCAATGACATCCAAAAGCGAGATCTTTGAAATTCTTCACTACCATCTTCCAATTCTATTGGTTGAAGCTCTAGCATCAAATTAAGTTCTACCAAATCTCGACGACCACTCAAATTATCCTTAGTCTTCCAAGAAATGTCTAATAATGTCGCAAAGACATTTTTCTCAATATGCATTACATCAAGATTATGGATATTAGAGCAATGCTTCCAATATGGCAACTCATCAAAAAATATGGGTATCTTTCTCCACGGATTCGGATCATCCACATCACGCCTTGGTTTCTTTTGCTTCTTTCCAAATGCATTTGAAAAATCACTCAACATATTCTCAATATAAATTCCATTCAATGGAATAGGTTGACTTCTTTCCTTAAGTTTTCCGTCAAAATTCCTCTTATCATGACGCCAAGGGTGAGATGGATCCAAAAATTTACGATTTTCCCTATACACATTCTTACCACTACAAGGTAACCACTCAGAATCTGTTTCATAATGACATTCAGGGCATGCCAAGTATCCTTTTGTGCTCCACCCAGATAACATTACATAACCCGGAAAATCACTCATGGTAGTCATGAATGATACATGCATATCAAACCTTTGATTAGTTGAAGCATCATAAGTTTCCAACCTAAACTCCCACAAATCCTTCAAGTCCTTGATAATGGCTGCAAATATATGTCAATGTCATTGCTAAGGGAAGACGGACCAGGAATTAGTAAGGCTAGCATCAAATGCTCGAGCTTCATAATCATCCAAGGAGGCAAGTTATAATTAATCAACATAACGGGCCATGTACTATGGACAATGCTCATTGAGTTGAACAGGCTAAATCCATCTGTGGCTAACCCAAGCCTCGCATTGCGGGGGTCATCAGCAAACTTTGGATATAAAGAATCAAATTCCTTCCAAGCTTGACCATCAACTGGATGATGTAAAAGATGATCATTTTCACGCCATTTAGAATGCCAAGTCATGTATCTCGCCGTCTCTTGACGCATAAATAGCCATTGAAGCCTTTTCTTTATTGGAAAGTACCTAAGAATCTTTTGAGGAATCCTATAGGTCTTCCCATTTTAATTTTGTATGTCATTCTCTTTGTCATTTGATTTCCATCTCGGCGTCTCACAAACATGGCGGCTTGTTGCGTTTTCATGCTCTTCCCAATATATCATGCAATCATTTGGGCATGCATCTATCTTAGTGTAATCCAACCCCAGCACTTTCAAAACACTTTTTGCTTTATTAAAAGAAGTTGGCAGTTTTGCATCAGGTAACACCTCCCTTATAAGCTCCAATATATCTCCAAAAGCAACATTAGTTAGCTTATGATCACACTTCAAAATCAAAAGTTGGATCGTGAAGGAAAGTTTTGAATGATTTTTACAACCAAGATACAATTCTTCCTGGCCCTCTTCAACTAACTTAATAAACTTTTTTGCCTCGTCATTTGGCCCCTTTCTAAAAGCATCACGTGCATCATGCGACAACCCTACTATGTCATCATTAAAATCATTTGGGTTTGACCCTTCATCATTATTCAAAATAATTTGTTCCCTTTCAATGCTCATCCCTAACTCTGATAACTTATCCGTTCGAGGAACAAAACCATTACAAATAAGGTGATCTCTCACAACACCTTCATGACGCCAAAAACGATAATGACAACTTTCACAAGGACAGCAAATTTGATTTCCTTGAGACTTAGAAGCAAAAGCCTTTTGTACATATTCATCTACTCCCCGCTCATATTCATCACTCCATTTGGCAAACATCCACCACTCTTTAGTTCCACTATCCATACTTTAGGGTAAGAATTAAAAGGTTTACTTTACTTAATTTTTACAGTAAAAACATTTAATCAATTCACTAAGAATTAAGAGAGTTACTTTAATCAATTACAAAGAACTGACAATAAAATCTGCTTTACAACCAACAGGAAGAAAGAGAACTAGTCTAAAAATCAACTTGTGCTCCACAATTTAAATTATAGTCATGACTCATGAGTTGTGATACATAAGAGCATTTCAGACATACATTTTTATGAGAAATATATATTTTATTTGAAAATAAAAATATATCATAAATCGTCAACAAATTACCAATATACTCCAACGAACAAAGCTGCCAGAACCAGCAACTGGCAGAAACCAAAACAAACACACCATATCTATACATCATCTTCCTAAACCACTCTTGATTTTTCCTAGTTTTTACATGCTAAATAATCATACATTAGGTCCTAGATAGCCATTTATGGTCTTCTAAAAAATATATTATAGTAGCAATTAAGTATTAAGTCGTTTATAGCTTGATGATATGATCAAAATACTTAAAACTAGTGTATTTCTATTGCCAAGGACAACTTTATCAAGTGTAATAAGCAAGGAGTATCAAAGTTGTATTCATACAAATTTATGACCCACTTTACATTAATCTAGTAACAATGAAAAAGAAACGAGATATTAAAAAGAGGCAAGTGTAATTAGCAAGGAAAGTTAAAAAGCCTTAAACTAATAATATTAGGGGAGAACCCATATCAGAGTATAATCATTCTTCTAGTATTTTAAGAGCCACCATCAAATAAACAATACAAATCAAGATAAACAAATGGACTAAAACATGACAAACAATTTGATGGTGCTGAGCTTCATTGCCTCAACTGCATTTTTAATTAATAATAGTGATCATCCAGGTATGCAGATTTTGAATATTCTTAGTTCTTACTGCTACTTCGAACTTCTTGAATTAGAGTAGAGTTGTTAAAATGGCATTGATTGCTTGAAATACGATTGGCTTCGTTATTGAAGCTTTAGCTATGCCTAATCCTGATTCAGCTTATTATTTACTCCATCAAAAATGGATAAGGAACGATTATATAATCATGTCTTGAAATTTGAATTAGATTGATAAGTCTTTGTATGGCAGCTTAGTCAGTTTAACAAGTGGCCTAGTGGGTATAACTGCGATTGTATGTAAATACGAGTGTACACAAACACGAGAATAACACTTCATTATAGAGCACATTCTCCTAAACAGAGTTCCCCTTACAGAAAGCAGCTCCCATTGTTCTCAATGCATTAAAAATCGATCTCTAAATAGCAAAAAATACAATTATACAGATGTTGCTCAACAAAATTTACAATTAGCAAAAAAAAAAAAAAAAAAAAAAAAAAAAAAAAAAAAAAAATCGATCTCTAAATAGCAAAAAATACAATTATACAGATGTTGCTCAACAAAATTTACAATTAGCAAACAAAAACAAAAACGAAAAAAAAAAAAAAAAACCGTGGCACACTACAAATTACAGCTTAAGATGCTTTAACTCTGTATACTAGACTGTATATCAGAAACAAGAATGCTGTGAGTGTGAAATGTGAATGCAATGAAACATTTAGTTAAAAAAAGTATATGCTCTACTTTTTCAAGGGGTCAGTCACCTTAATTAAGATCCAGTCTAATCCACTATACCGTTACTAAAGAGCTTGAATTGTTTGGCATCGAGAATCCACTTCCTGAACGAAGAGAAGGACCCGAAAAGTCCAGCACCAGTAAAGATGATGATGATGGCAATGTTAACCAGATAAACAGTTGATGACAAACAACTTCCTTTGTCTGATCAAACACTGGATCAAATTAACAGTATTCACTAACACACTACTAGGAACAATATTCCGAATTTGATACACCATATTTGTAGAAACTGCTTGCCTGAAACCCTTCTCATGTGATTTACGTATTCAGACCCAGTCTTCTAAGCCTCTTTTAAAGCCCTCAGTGCAGCTATTATTCACACACAAACAATGATACACATCTCAAAGAGTGAATAACAGTAATTTTCAATAATTTCTATTAAATCTAAAGGCTTTGGATGACTTCTTTAACTAAATAGTAAATAGGAGGGCACATTGGAGTAAAAATTCCTAACCCATCAATGTCTAAAGTTACTTGTCTCTTTGTAAAATCACAACAGAACTCAAAAAACAAGATTCAGAAAAATAATTCGCAAATACAAAGAACTAAGTAAAATCAATATATCTTCTTATCCATTTATATGAAATTCCCCCAAAAAAACCCCATTAGACTACTCAAATACAATATTCAGTACTGCTAGGTTTCAAAAATAAAAAAAAATAAAAAAATCAATATTGCTAAAAGAAACCCATTAGCCGTTTCCAAGAGTTATGAGAGCAGAAACTTCATCTTCCATGGCATCAAATACAAATTCCCAAACACAAAAGCAAAAACTTCAAATTTAATCACCATTAAAATGCAACAACAAAATTTCAATTAAGCAATCTCAAAAACGAAAATTCGTTGTATACCTTGAATAGAAATTCGAGCAATCAGCTCAAGGAAGGGACATGCAAGATGAAAATGAGATCAGCCACCACCGCTATCAGCCACCACCGCCTAAGTGCCGCCTTCGTCTAATTAGAATTTTTGAGTAACCTTTTTTCGTAATTTTCCCCTCAGAATTTGAAAGTAATTATGGCCTCAAAAATGGAGAATTGGGTAAAATGTGAGAATGTGAGAAAATGGGTACTCAGAAATATGAGAAAATGGTAGTATAGAAAATGGTAGTACATAGTTCTTTTACTTTTCCATTTTTCTTTTCACTTTTCTTTATTGTAGGCCTTAGGATAGTAACACGTGTAAGGATTCAAAATATTTGGGCAAAAAAATAGAGGGAAGTCCTAATTTTCCGCGTGCTTCTAAATTTTTCATTATACAATAACCACATATCGTTGCATCATCTCCCTTTTTTGTTAAAATAGCTAGGCTAATGCAACGGTTTTTTAGAGCCGTGGCATTAGCTCTACGTCTAAGAAAATTAGTGTTAAATACGTGGCATTAGCCTACTCTATTGCAACGGCAATTAAAATACCGTTGTATTAGCCTTTATTAGGCCATTGCATTTGGTCAAAAATGTAGTAGTGCACGGAGGCTAAGTATTTCATACTTTGTAATGCGATGATGATTGTGATAATGAGTGATTCTAAGATGACAAGACATGCTTCAAGGTTGTATCAAGATTTCATGACAAAGGGTTCCTAAGGGAAGGATTATTTGGCTATGTATTTGTGATGTGTGTGAAAGTGACACTAAGGTTAAGCTACAAACGCTAAGGGTGTGGAAAAATATTTTGAGAAGAGTCAAATAATGGCGACTCTTAGGCTGGGTAGGCTAATGAAAGAGGGATGAAGCCCCCAAGTCTAGCTCTAAATGGATAAGGAGGAGCATTGGAGATCCTTTGATATGATCATGCATGAATATGAATATGAATGTGATGAAATTTTATTATGGCCGCACCCTAATGTGAGGTTGCCTACATATCCGTTAGGAATCAGGCCGAACAAAGTTGTAGCCGAACCTCGCACAAGTGTATGTATACCTCAATGAGGTCTTTCAATGGTTGTAACGGGGTTAGGCTAAATGTTGAAGAAGGAAGGATAAAGGCTCAAGACCCAAAATAAGCCCCTCAAGGTGTGCAACCTTGCATTTGAATCTTGGTATTTGTATGCTTGAGGTTTTCTCACTTTTGAACTCTTTTTCTGTTTTTGCATTTAAGATTTGTTTTTGAATCTTTTTAGATAAATGTGGGCAATCCTATTCATGTGTTCTATCATTCACTTAGCATTCATGTTTCTTAGGCACGGTGCCGAGCACTCGATAAGAGACGCAATCTGAGACGTGTTCATATCAAAGACATTGGAACACTTGCCCTTTTGCACACTTTTGTTGCTTTTTGAAATTTTGGTAAAAATTACTTAAGATTTTTCTTTGAAAATTGCATAAGTCGCACACCAACCCATCCCAAGGTTATGTATATGAAGGTTGAAAACAGAAAGGTCAATCTTTATGCGAGCTCAAAGCGGTTTATCAAGAGAGGTTGTATATTCAAAATGGGGTAAAGGTAATATGATGTGGCTACAAGGGGTGCCTCAAATCATTTTTATACCTTGTTCTTAGCTCAACATGGTTTTTTTTTTTCTTTTTTTAAATGCAATGCAATGCTCATATGCAAGGAAATAAAATGCTCATTTTATTGAAATGGAAAGGGTGAAAAAACTAACTCTAAGAAATAAATATAAGAAATGATGAAGGGCGCCTATGCTAGACTTATTGAGGGAAAAGGGAAATCAAAAATAAGAAAGAAAAATCATGAAAATCCTAAAGATGTAGCACCTTGTGCCTTGTCACATTATCACTCGGTCTTCTTGCCGGCAAGAGGAACGGAAAGCTTGTTATTACCGATAAAATATTGGATGGCCTCTTTTACCTTCCAACAACTCTCGGTAGTATGACCCCTACCTTGATGGTACTTGCAGTGTGCATCTGGGTTCCACTTGGATGTTCTCCTTTCAGGTGGAGGATCCTGCATAGGTCCAATGGGAGTGATGAGTCCCTTGGCATGGAGTCGATCATAGGCGGTATCATAGCTCATCCCAATAGGGGTAAACTCCTTACTTAGTTGCCTTCTCGACCCTTGATTATTCATGACTAAGACATCATTAAGGTTAAAGGTACTAACATTGTTACTAGAGTGGGTGTTTTCGGAAGAAGAAGGATTGTCGTTCTTCTTCCCTTTCCAGCCACTATTGTTACTATTGTTACCAGCTTTCTGTTTTGCATGGTTATCTTCAATTTCAATGCCTATGTTTGACGAGTGGAATTTATTCCACTATTTCACCCCTTTTCACTGATGATTCTCCCTCATTTGTCACTTATTTGCGCCTTCTCTAGCTGTTTTTACCTTTGTTTTGGTTACTTTTGTTCTTTCTCGCGGTTTTCCTCTTCTTTTATCTTTTTTTTTGTTTTATATCTTTTCTTTGTTGATTTTGAAGGTTTTTAGCAATTTAGGATGAATTTAAAGGAGCTAATGAGGCTAATGAAGAGGTGGAGATGCTCAAGAGAGAGGGCGCGCAGCTCTGCAAGGAGCCGCGGGCGCGGATGTCCAGGCCCTGGGCATGGACAAGATGAATTTGAGCTCATCTTTTGAACCTGTAAAAGGCTGGTCGCGCCCTTGCAGAGGGCTCTCCCCAGTCACGGCACATAAAAGGCCGCGGGCACATTTATTCGTGGCGTTGTTTCCCCTGTTTCTCAGCCACGGCCTCTCCCCAACTAGGGGAGGGCTCTCCATCAATAACTCGCGGGTGCGGCATAGAAGGCCGTGGGCATGGCATAGAAGGCTGCGGGCGCAGCTTCGTGGGTTTTGCATCTCCGTACCACGCTTGGAGAGGGCGCGGCATTATTTGAGAGGGCTCTCCTTAGTTCGTTATTTCTGGTTTCTTTAGGCACTATAAATAGACTTTTTCTTGACTTTTATTATCATGCTATTTTCCAATTATAAATAGAAATTTTTAGTGAGAGAAACTCTAGTATTTTAGAGACAAAACGTTGCTTAATCTTCAAGGTTCATCATTGTAATCAAGATTTCTTCAAGTTTTCGTCAATTCACTGCAAGTATTTCATGTTTTCTTCATCAATCAAGTTTCATAGTAGTAATCTCTTTACTCTTACCTTTTGTTTGATTTAATTGCTTTTGATAGTGTTGATTTCCATCTATTTCTTTGATTTTACTAGTTTGATTGCTTTTTTCTTTAAATTTGAATCATGTTTAGCTTTGTTAAGATTGAATCCATGCTTAGTGTGGTTGTGATGGCTATTTTCTCTTCTCTAGCTTAGATTTCTAGCTAAGGAAGGGGGTGAAGATCATGAATGATTGGGATTATATTGATGATTGATTGGATTTAGCCTTGAGTTGATGATTCTGTGCTTAAATTGCTTGGAGTTATTGATGTGCACCTTTAATTCCAATATTTGAGTTCTAAATTAGATGCATGGGAATGATCTAGTTTAGTTTTGATCTATTAAATCAATTTGCTTGAGTAATTGCCTGGGAATGAATTATTTGAGTAGAATTTGTATTCCTTGGCATGAATCCATGTTGATTATCATTGTTGTCTTAGTTGATCATGATTGGAACCCCCTCTCCCTAGTGTTTTGATCATATTTCTCTCAAATCAAGTTTTCCATCCTTATTTTGGTGTTTCTAGTTTGAACTTTCTTGATTTGCTTGTTTTAATCTTTCTAGTAGTTAATTTGATCATAGAAATTCACAAAAACAATCAAAATACCCCTTGTTACTTGCAATAGATTCTTTAATTCCACTTTGATTGTGCAATGCCCCATTTCCTTGTGGTTCAACCCTAGCTTGCCACTATCTAGTGTGAACTTGATAGAGTTAGGTTAGTAATATAAACTGTTGATTTGATTAAGGATAGTAGACACGACCTATTATCCGACGACCAAATTTTTGGCGTCGTTGCTGGGGAAACGACTAGTTTTGCACTCTTATTGTGTTGTTATTGGATTTGGTTCTTTTCGTTTTTGTTCATTTACTCTCTTGCTAGTCATTGCTAATTGTTTGCTTAGCTTTGGTGGATGCTCAGGAGGTCTCAAGGACCACCCACACATTACATTGACCACAAGATCGACAGCACTTTGAGACAAGTTTGTAGGCTTTATCAAGAAGAGGCGCAAGGTCTTGGTGTTATTGTTGAGAGTGAGAATGATTCTTGGTCTTCAAATTCTCAAAGTGAGGCAATGGCGGGACAAGAAGATGATCTTATGTTTCGTGAGTTTTGAAATCCGAAGGATTATGAGCTGACAGGAGGGATTTTGCTATCCGTCACGGAAACCAATTTCACCATTCATCCCCAATACACAAGGATGGTATAAGCGGAATAGTTTTCGGGTTCTCCAAGTGAAGATCCTATTGAGCACCTTGATAGATTCCTTGAGCTTTGTGCCATGATTCAAACTAATCAAGTTTCTCAATAGTACATTCGTATGCACTTATTTCGACAATCTCTTTCGGGTAGAGCAAAGAAGTGGCTCAAGCAAGTTAAGCCAAATTTTCTCACAACATGGAGAGAGATAGTCAAGGCATTCATGAAAAGGTTCATTTCCAAGGAAAAGATTGTCGAAATGAGAAGGAAGATTGCATCATTTGAACAAGAAGCGGATGAGAGTCTTACTAGAGCTTGGGAAAGGTTCAAAGAGTTGGTACAAGCATTTCCTCACCATGAATACAATCAAATTTTGCTCATGCGATTCTTCTATGATGGATTGGAACCTATGTCTAGAGCTAACTTGGATGCGAGGGCGGGTGGACAATTGATTAAGATCCCCCAAAATCAAGTTGAAGCAACAAATGAAGAGGTAGCAAAGAACTACTCTTGGGGTGTTAGAAGGAGGAATGCACCAAGGAAAGGTGGGATGTATGAATTGGAGAAGGTTGATCAATTGCAACATTAAATTGAGCTTTTAACAAAAGGGCTTGCAAAGTTGAATACGAGTATTAATAGTGGGACAAGCTCTTCTCAAGTCAATTTTTTCTCTTGTCAAAATTGTGGTGGTACAAACCACGATAGATCTTATTGTGGAGGTTTGAGCCCCGAGCATGTGGCGGCATACAACACAAGACAAGATGGATATAGAGGAAGTGGCGGTGGTGTAGCTTGGAGACAACC